CTAGAAACGATTGATCATCTTGTAGCAGGTTGTACGGTGTTGGCACCCACTGAATATAAAACCCGACATGACAGAGTGGGCCAATATCTGCACTGGAAAATCTGCAACTTCTACGGGAAGAAAACTGAAAGAAACTGGTATGAACACCACCCAGACCCGGTTACGGAGATAGGACCTGTTACAATTCTATGGGACTACACAATACACACTGACAGAACAATCAAGGCCAACCGCCCAGATATTGTTATTAAAGACCACAAACAAAAACGGTGCCTCCTTATTGATATGGCAGTCCCTGCCGACTGCAATGTATCTTTGAAGATATTCAAAAAGTTGTCAAAGTACAAGGACCTTGAAAGAGAAATCGCGAAAATGTGGCATATGGGAACATCAACAATCCCTGTTGTAGTTGGATCCCTAGGACTGGTTGGAAAAGATTCCAGTAGACTAATTGAAGGGATTCCTGGAAGTCCATGCCTCAAGGAGATACAGAAAATTGTTCTGACAAGTACAGCCCACACCTTACGAAGGGCTTTATCTATGTAATCATTTTTTTTTTTTTTGTCAGTGGAAAGTGTCATGACGCCATTTCTAACCTTAGGTCCCTGGGCGGGACCCGGAAAGAAATGTGTAAACGCCAGAAATCAAAGGAAAAAAAAAAATTAATAATCGTAATAATAAGTTTTTCAAAATTAATAATGTTTTTGAGTATCAATAATAATATTAATAATAAGTTTTCCAGAATTAATAATAATTATCATACTACTACTACTAGTAGTACTACCACTAATAATAATAATAATGCCAATAAGATTTCTATAAACATTGGCAGGTTTAGTAATGATAATACTAACAACATCAGTAATAATTTAGTGTTTTTTTTTTTTTACAACAATGATCAGTGGGAAATGCCATTAATACATTTCTAACCTTAGGTCTCTGGTTGGGACCCAGAAGGAAATGTGTACACATAGAAAATCAAACGAAATAATAATAATAATAATAATAATAATAATAATAATAATAATAATCCTTACAAATAAACTTTGGAGCAAAATTTTGTAAAAATTCAAAAATACATTTGATACCCAGTACATTAGCGGAAACGAAACAAAATGAAAATTTCCCTCCATCTTGAAACCGTTAGCAACAGTTTCGTTGTAAATATAATGTGAATGTTTAAGTTTTGTGAACGGGCGTCATTGTTTCAAAACAATAATATTATAAAAAAAGGCAAAGTCTGTTATAATTGAAAGAGGAATTCAAGCCAAATATATAATTATCTCCAGTCGGAAATTCTTCGTTCTCAAACCGGGATTATTAAACCAAGCAATGTAGTATTTTAGCGAAATTAGCTTTTTAACCAATCCTCGTTGGCCTGAAATTTTATGAAAGGAATTTCACAATCATTCATAAACATTGAATATTTCTTTTATATATTAAATACATTTTATAGATTTTGAACGCCTTTTAAGACTTAAGGTTAGTCCCAGACATCAAACAGAGCTCGTATTTGTTTTTAATTATTTCACGCGCAATCAAAGCGATAATGTCACTAGCACGCAAGCAGTTACGAGGGAGTGGAAGAGAACGAGAAGTGAGGAGAATAAAGGAACAGGGCTCAGAAAGACAGAAGATGACGATTGGCGTTTCATTTAAATTTCTGAATATTGAGGGTGACAGGGAAAACAGAAATCGGAAGTGAGTTCCACAGGTAAAAGTGCGAGAAAAGAAACTACTAGAGTAGAAGTGGTGGTTGCATCTAGTTATTTCAACAGTAAAATGGTGAGACCTAGTTACTAATCTAGTAGAACACTTAAATTCACGTAGTCGAGGCACTAGTGGATAAATTATCAGAACAGTTACCATGAAAATATTTGTAGAAAAGACAGAGAGAAGTCACGTCACGTCGGTGAGAAAGTGACTGAAGTCGGGATGACAGATCAGACTGGATTGCATTACAGACGCTTTGAATTTAGTCGGCATTAAATAACCCACTGAGATGTTGATATACCGTAAAACAAAATAAGACAGAGCACTCATTACTAAAATACGTCAATGAAACCTGACCTACAAACTGATTTCTTACAAAGAATATATTTTCTATTAATACGAACCTATCCTAATTATCTTGTCGGCATTAAATAACCCATTGAGGTGTTGATATGCCGTAAAACAAAATAAACCAGACCACACTCTCGACACAAATACAAAAATACGTCAATGAAACTTGATCTACAAACTGATTTCTTACAAAGAATACATATCTATTCATATGAACCTTTCCTAAAAATCTTCTCGGCATTAAATAACCCATTGAGGTGTTGATGTGTCGTAAAACAAAGTAAACCATATCTGGGCTTACCGGAAATCATAAGGTGGATATTAAAGATCACCAAGAATCGAATGGACGCTTTCCGACCATGAGAACCGTGTTCGAATCTCGTCGTGGTCGATTTGTCTTAAAGGCGACTTCTTGATGCTATCGGTATGGGGGAGGCGATCCCAGAAAATGTTTATCACGGGTTAACCCAACCCTTATGAGTAAAACTTGGTAGACGGAACTATCTGGGAGGCGTTGATGGTTATACCGGAACGAAGTCTCAAGTCATCGTGACCGAGGACTTGAACATACTGGCCTTGCAATGCGCACAAAGTGTCATGTCATTGTGACCGAGGTCTTGAGTATACTAGCCATTAATGCCCAGTATAGTTGCAGTATAATCAACATATATATATAAATTTTAGTCCTTTCACAATAAACACTTTTTACATTTTGTTACCAAATGCCTCTCCATTTTCTTTATTTTCAAACTTGCTCACCCCGTTCGGACATCGTACCTCGGCGTCAGTCATTTCCCCACCATCAAAATGTAGTTTTCCTCTGCCTTTGTTATAAATATTTTCATGTTCGGATGAGCTTTCCTTTTTGTTACCAAGACTTTAAGAATTTAAGCGCAGTACTAGATTGGCGGGAAGGTCTCAACTTTAAACAGTGACATTTCCACATATAACCGTAAGTTGCGATTATTTTGAATCAACTGCGAGGTTTGAGAAAGTTTGTTCGATGTGTCAGGCTAGACAATTTTTTCCATCCAGAAACTATCTTACAAATGTATAACTCTACCATTTGTCCTTGCAATGTATATTCCAGTCACGTTTGGTCTGGTGCTCTTGCTATCTATATAGAGATTCTTGATAAAAACCAATGAAGAATCTGCAAGGTTATCAGCTCTGACCTGGCATCTCGGTTTTCAATCATTTTCCTGCCGTAACGTAGCTTCTTTGTGCTTCGGCAATTGTTCTGATGATTTTTTTTTCTTTTTGGTAGCTCTTCATGAATTTAAGCGTAGTACTACTATATTAGCGGCAAGGTTTCATCATCTTACACTTGAAATGGCTCAGTAACGTTTTCTCCCTCTTTCTCACTCTGTTGTCCTTCATCCTCAGTAACTCCTTGCGCCTTAGTGGCTTTATCGCCTTACTTAGGTGAAAGACACCATTGCTCTGAACTCAGGGTTGGACATTGGGGATCTGGAGACAGCAATGCAGGATCGAACAGTGTGGAAAAGGATTGTCAATGGAGTTCCCGATGATGATGATGAAGCAATAAAAGAGAGAGAAAGAAAGAGAAAGAAAGTGATATAAAGCAATATATGAGAGAGAGAGAGAAAGTAAGAGATATTAGTTGGCCGGCCACTGCCATCGAGCGGATAGGGAAATCGTCTCATCCTTACTCTTATGGCATCCTTCTGAAAGTTTTTTCTCACGAAAATTGACTATCCCAGACAACATAGGTTGGGCATTGGGGGCGGGGGGTGTCTGGGAACAGCAATACACGACCGAACAATGTGGAAAAGAATTGTCAATGCAGTTCCAAGCAACCATAGAAAAGGTCGAACGATGATGATGATGATGAGGTGAAATGATTTTTCAAAAAAATCACAGAACCGGCGATTATTGTAGGCGACTGGACTAGATCAAGAAGACGAAATTTTGTCCAAGACCTTTTAGGTTCTTTCATCCGTAATAATTTCGTCAACGACCCTTTTCGAAGTTCTTTCAACTCAGCGAGGCCACAAAAATCGTTGTTGGGGCAAACCCTTGAAACTGCCCAGTGAGTGTCCTTCCTCCTCGCTATTATATATCGTCATAAAAAGGCTGATATGAACGTACCGACAACATACATATATCGTCATAAGAAGGGTGATATTCCCATATCCAAATTATAAATCGTCATAAGGGTGAAATGACCACGCCCCTCATATATATCGTCATAACAAGGGTGAAATGACCACGCCCCTCATATATATCGTCATAACAAGGGTGATATGACCACGACCCTCATATATATCGTCATAACAAGGGTGAAATGACCGCCCCCCTCATATATATCCTCATAAGGGTGATATGACAGTGCCCATGATATATATCGTCATAACAAGAGTGATATGGTAGTGCCCTTTATATCGTCATAACAAGGGTGATATGACCGCGCCCTTCATATATATCGTAATAACAAGGGTGAAATGACCGTGCCGATAATAACAGACGCTCTCCAGCTCATGTTAAAATCACTAAAGAATGTACTGAAAAATTTGAATAAAGAATTGAGATTATCCCGACTACAAGTAACAAGATACTGAGGAAGGTGCTAAAGAGTTTAGAAAACTTTTTGTCTCTCTCCCTACAACATACGCATGTGGCTGAAGTAAACAATAATAATTTAGGTATATTTTCCACACCAATGTTTTTTCGTGACGTCGATGTAAATCCAATAGTTAAGACGCGGATCGGAGTGTCCCTTAAAAGTGTTGTATTACAAGTTTCGTCAAAACAAAGGGTTTGTTTGAGGTCGTATCTGACGTCATCGGAGCGTGAGTAATACGTCGTGTCTGCTCCAATCAGCCGCCTTTTAGTTTCTTCTTTACTGCTATCCTCCCCACCCACAACACGCTCCCTCGTGACGTGTATATCATTAATCCCTGACGTGGACATCATTAATCTCGTGTTATCGCTGTCTCACCCCGAGTAACAAGAGGGCCTCGCTTCTGGAAGATGAAGCGGTCTGGAGGCACTTTTGGGCACGGCAAACGGAGGAAGAAAAAAAAAGAGAGAGAGAGGGGAGGAAAAACAGAGAAATAAAGAGAGAGAGAAAGAGAGAGGGAAAGAGAGATAGAAATAAATAGAGAGAGAAAAAGAAAAAGAGAGATAAATAGAGAGAGAGAGAGAAAGATAGAGAGAGAGAAAGAAAGAGAAAGATAGAGAGGAAGAGAGAGAAAGAGAGCGAGTGAAAGAAGGAGAAAGAAAGAGAAAGAAAGAAAAAGAGAGGAAGGAGAGAGAGATCGATCAAGATTATTTAAGTTGGAGAAGATCTGGAGTCGAGACGAGACCAATTTGCTAAATAAAAAACAGTTTATACCGCGTATATTTGAGTAAAGTGTAGGTTTTTATGATCAATTTCTACGCAAAAATAGTGGGGTCGCACTATACACAGGTAATTTTTGAAGAGTTTAAAAAACATGCATTTTCAGTGATCAGTTATATTATACACGCGCAATTTTTTTTTCAGGAGAGGTTAAAGTTTAGGCATTTTCGGTGACTGTAACCTACCTGGTAAGCGTACATTCTCACGGCACCTTTGGCTAACATTAACGGTTCAGGTAGGCTCCTTTAGCCTGCCCCCAGTAGCCTGCCTCCATTAGCCTAGATTCTTTCTTTCTCTTGCTACAAGAACAGCTCCGGCAACACATAAAAGCAAACAATTAAAAAACCACAGTTTCTAGCAAAAAACAACATTGGTGTATAGGGTACGTTTTACTCAGGAGGGCTTGTATTATCATAACCCGAAGTATGTACCTCAAATCGTGGGACACCCGACATTATGTTCCTCAAACCGTGGTACATGCTGCATTATGTTCCTCAAACCGTGGGACACCCGGCATTATGTAACTCAAATCGTGGGACACCTTGGATTATGTACCTCAACTCGAGGGGCACCCGGCATTATGCAACTCAAATCCTGGGACACACTGCGTTATGTACCTCAACTCATGGGACAGGCTGCATTATGTACCTCAACTGATGGGACACGCTGGATTATGTACCTCAACTCGTGGGACACTCTTTATTACGTACTTCAACTCGTAGGACACTCTGCATTATGTACCTCAACTCGTGGGACACTCTGCATTATGTACCTCAACTCGTGGGACACCCGGCATTATGTAACTCAAATCGTGGGTCACACTGCTTTATGTACCTCAATTCGTGAGACACCCGGCATATATTTTTTTGAAGAGTTTAAAAATCATGCATTTTCGGTGACCGTAATCTACCTGGTAGGCGTACATTCTCACGACACCTTTGGCTAACATTAACAGTTCAGGTAGGCTCCTTTAGCATGCTTCCATTAGCCTAGATTCTTTCTTTCTGTTGCTACAAGAACAGCTCCGTAAATACACCACATTCAAATATCACTTTCTAAGAAAATAAAGCAAAAAATGTTTAAAGTACGTTTCACGTAGAATGACTAGATTTATCATCACACCTCAACTCGTGGGACATTCTGCATTACATATCAGTAATCCTGACAAAAAAGGTTATCATTAGAAAGGCAATACCTCAGCGATCTAATTGTTTCTTTTTCTTACCGCGCTTACATAATCTCTTGCATTAAAATGGAATTCTATTTTGAATTCATCACTAACAATTACCTTTTGCTACTTTTCAGCATCTCATTGGTGTGTTCCTTTCACCACTTCAATCTTATGTTCTAATATTTTTTGGTTAATAATGTTTGTTTTTTCCAATACGATCGGGAATGGCTGCAAAAGTTTATAGCCAAAACACACAGATGCATGCTGGGATTTCTTTCTAGCCAATAAGAAAGGTCACTTCTCGATCTCAGCTATGTTCTTTCTTGCCTTGAAACACTAGACTGCGATTGCTTGTCTGTATCCCTTTTCTGTTTTAACACCATTTTAATAAGATGGAATAATTCTGACTCAGTAAGTTGCATATTATTTTAATCCGACACACATACATAATACAAGTAATAACAGAAAGTAAAACAATAATGTATATAATTACCAAACGCAATTAAAATACATTAGCAACAAAGAAATAGAGACAACGGAAGATTACAAATTCGTCTGGAAACGCGACACACTCGACTTTAACGTCCCGGTTAACACAATAGTCATACACGTAACTGTAACCATCAGTCAGTGGAATGATATCTCTATTTATAGTAAATGGCAGTCTATATTTTCATTGTCTAGAGATTCACGTTCAAACTCAGGTGTCAGTAGTGACACTTTTCATTCATATATGACGCATATTATGATGACATATTACCATGACCTTATCATCTCAGATCTTTTATTGGCCCAATTGTTTGGCATGACCTTTTTCAGCTTCAAGCTGAATAAAGTGTTGTATCTTTTGTTACACGACACCTACAGATTATTTTCCAGACTTCAAGACTTACTGATGTAAGCATATTAGTGAATGAGTGCAATCAGATCGTTAAGGTATGGCCTCCAATCTACTGTTAACAGGGGCAGGGAATAGCTGAAACTGCTCTCTAGCAATCATCTGAAAGGTCTCTTTCTGCCGTCCATCAGTATGGCTGATGCTAACCTCCAGGAAATTAACCCATTACGCCTTCTCAGGTTAACATTTTAGGCTAGAATGAAGTGGAAAGATTATATTGAATCAATTGCTAGGTCACTGTGTCGTGCAAGAAGATTTTTCTCTTTAGAATCTATATATAAGTTTACCATTCGTCCTTACTTTGAATATAGGTGCTACAACTTTCTGGTGCTCCTGCTATATATTCAGAGATTCTTGATAAAATCCAAAGAAGAATTTGCAATGTTATCGGTCCTGACCTGGCATCTCAGCTTCAATCATTTTTCAATGCGATAATGTCGCTTCTGTTTGCCTGTTCTATAAATATTTTCATGGTAATTGTTCTGATGAAATTTCCGTTATGGCACCTAGACTTTATGAATTTAAGTACAGTAGTAGACTACCGGCAAGGTCTTATCTTTTTACAGTTGAATTGGCCAGAAGGACGACATTGCATTTAAATTTTTGAAGATCAAACTTTCCTGGGAACCAAGAAACAGGAAGAGAGTTCCACATGCGAGAAGTGCGAAGAAACTGTCAGCCTTCTCAACTTCATGTCAGCGGAAAATGCTACCCTGAGGAGCGTCACTCTTCTGATAGAGAGCCACGTCGATTTCTGGAATTAAAAGTAACGTCGGTATCGACAGTAGCACATGAGATTTGATTATTGTGGTGAAGGTTCCGTGCAGGACCATCCACACTTATTTTGAGGGGCCGAATAGAGAGATCTGGTGTATTACGTGCCACAAGGTCCCCAAACGACCCTCCGGATGTTTTGAATTCAGAGTTTTTCCTTCTCCTAGACCAGTTTCCATCAAAGGCTATAGAACCCAGTCTGTCCTGCTATTTACCCATAGCTGGAGGGAGAAGAAGAGGATTCACACATTTCCCAAGGGTATTAGCACCTAAGTGAATGTAATGAATTTGACTGGAATTCGAACTCGGCTCTCCGATTCCTCAATCCAAGACGCTATCTATTACACATCCGTGCCTCCTCAATATATATATATTTATTTAGTTCATTGTTTTAATGTTTCTCTATTCTGTTTTCGAAGACCGTGTTTTCTTATACTGTGTTGGTTTTTGCTTGCGAATTTGCATTTCCGTAATCTGCTCATAATTTCTTTTTCTCCCAAAGAATGGCTTCTTAATTTGTAACTTTGACCCGAAATGGAGATTACGAAGATCATTTTACAGATCAATTTTATTCTAACAAAGACAAAATCCCGACAGATGACAATGCCAGTCCACGTCGCATTGAACCCAAGAGGCCTTCACTCATTTCTTATATTACTCCAGCCGAGATATCAAATTCAGGGTTCAATTGTAACTTATCTGGTAAAACCTTCGGCTTTTCGCTAAGGAAAATTGTACATTTTCAACCAAGTTTTAATAGTAGGCAGTGAAAAAGAGATGGTGATGCTGAGCATGTGTCCTTGCAACACAAGCTAATTAGATTAAATGAGCTAAAATAAAAAGACCAATCTATATTCATAAATTCAAATACTCACACGAGGAGACAAGCTAGTTTTGATACTTTAATAAATTTGATCCTGATTAGATATTTCACTTTTATGACCCTGTATCAAATATCATTAATTGGCGGGAAAATTGGAGCTGATTTCTTAATCAGGCATCTTTAATATAGCAAATGATTTAAAACGTGAATACTTTTACAAGTTCAAGGAAACAGTAAAAAACTTTAAATTTCAAATACAAAAAATATTTCTTTAATTCTAAACAATATATATATATATATATATATATATATATATATATATATATATATATATATATATATATATATATATATATAAAAAAGAAGAGAGGTGCCGCAAACGTTTTTGGTTGTAATGTGGATTTATTTAGAAAAAAATATTATACTTTGTTTTACATAATTGTACTACACGGGTTTCTGGTCTCGTGACCATCTTCAGGTAAAAGCAGAGATTTCCACATATTATTAAAAATAATTAATTTTTTCTTTTGTTTTTCAATGTTAAATATTCTCGATATGAGACATTTTCTGTGTTAGTAATTGTTGTGGTAGGATCCACCTAATTTGCATAGTGGAGTACCGACCATATAAATATGGTTGGTACCGGGAAGAGAGGGAGGAATCAAGAGATTCAATCCAGAGACTCTGCCCGACTGCGACTCAGTCAACACATTCTCCAGGAACGGTCTTACCAGGAATATACAAAAGACTATATGTAAATATTGTGTACACTTTCTTGTTTCAATACATTTTGTTCTAAGTACATTTTGTGTTGCATTATTATTCCATGCATTAGTCAAGTTTCAACAGTAATCCGAATTTCTTTCTTGATATAATGTCATTCGCAGAGTGAACTGTTTTGCTGTAACACAGTTCCTCGGTGCAACTAGACATCTGAATACCTCAAACCACGATTATAACCAACCTATTTGGTGTCAGTAAGAGTTTCTACTACTGAGGTATCTTCATTCGACAGAGTGAGGTAACTAAATCTAGCGTATTGTTTTTATGAATGTGAATAAATGCCAATCATCCGGAGGGCTCTATTCATTTTACTGAAGAATTTTGCATTAGAGCAGGTGGATGTTGTTTATAGAATTAGCTTGTCACTCGACAGTGCTCAACTGAAATATATTTTCAAGCGCTAAATTATGGGTCAGTGTGCCACAAAACTACATTCATTATCGGATTCTTACTGATTGGATTAAAGACTATGAGAATCTACCTTGAAAATCTTTGTTTGGCATTACATGACCATTATATAGGAGTCAATGTGCCATAAAAGCACATTCAGAATCAGAGCTTTGGAGATGGGATTAAAGACTATGAGAATCTACTTTATAATCCTTGTTTGACAATACATGACCATTATATAGAAGTCAATGTGCCATAAAACCACATTCAGAATCAGAACCTTGGAGATGGGATTAAAGATTATGAGAATCTATTTGAAAATCCTTGTTTAACACTACATGACCATTATATAGGAGTCATTGTGCCATAAAACACATTCAAAATAAGGATCTTGGAGACTGAACTAAAGTCTATGATGGATATGTGATTAAATACTACCGAAATCTACTTGAAAAACCATTGTTTATCATTATATGACCATTATAGAGCAGTCAATGTTCCACAATAATCATGATCAGTAATCTGAGGATGATATTACATTTCTTCTTTAAAAATTACAATATATCTGGTTTGTCATCATTTTATTGTTTTAAGTTTAGTATTCGTATTTTGTTGACTAAATCGAAAAACATTCTGTCCCTTCCGCTTGTGTTTTGTTTTTTGTTTTTTTTTTTTTTGTAAAATATTTATAGATTGGAAAACATAGGAATACCTTAGTAACATAAAAAAAGCCAATTGGAACTCATTAGAAGCCAATTGATCATTACATCGAGTCGGCGACGCATGGCAGGGTAAAGAGGTCTCAAATTTTCACAATTAAATAAAATACTTCGCCAGTATCGTATCACCATTTCGTATTCTCGTTTCAAGTTTTTTCTGTCGCAACCAGCTCTTTAGATTAAAGATAATATTTCTCCGGGGAAAATTATCTAAATTGAGCTGGTATAAAAGCAAAGGGAGGAGTTGGACTTCTGAAAGGTCCGTAGCATCGAGGGGTGTGGTTAGGGTCCACAGGGGACTTTCGTTTATATCGTTGCCACTGCGGTCTCATTTCGGTATTTAAAACGCCAACATCAATTATCTCGTTATTTACGACTATGTGAAAGTTTGAAGTCGTTTGATATGACTGGAATGTGATGCAGAAACGTAAAGACATTTGTATAGAAAATACATTAAATAATAAAATACGGCAATATTTAAACTTCGTCAACCAAAAAATAGTGTGTCGAAAGGAAGGTTATTCCCTTGACATCGTTATTACTGTATGCAGTTTTGACTCCCTTGACAATGTTTGTCTATATTTCTCAGATGAGGTATTATAACTGTGTACATTATTTACATTATTCGGACTGTTGTCCTCATCTTTATTGTCATACTTACGACGTTTCGGCCGTTGTACACTCCGGTCTTCTTCAGAATCTATCTATATTCCTGAGATGAGGTATTGCAACTATTTACATTATTCATACTGTTATCTTCATATTCATTGACATATTCACGACGTTACATCCGTTGTACGCTCAGACATTCGTTAGAATCTGTCTATATTTCTGAGATGAGGTATTGTGAGTATTTACACTATTTACATTGTTCGGAAAGTTGTCCTCATCTTTATTGAGAGATTCATGACGTTTCCGGTGTTGTACGCTTCGGAATACGGTTGAATTTTAAACCGAACACTTTATTTAGTTCAAGGAGTAGATTTACTTTTTACCATTTTACAAATGAATAAACTTGAAAAGAAGTTTTTTTATTAAAAAAAAATTATAAAATATTACAAAATTGTCAAAATATGTAAAACAAATACAATGCAATGTTTATTTACTATTTTATGAATAACTATGAAAACAAGGAAATGAGATACTTCGAGCTGGTGTAATGGTTCACAAGCTTGTCTCGCTCGATAAGTTGCGACTGTCTTGTGAGTTCGATCCTCACAGGGTGTTCTACACTTATGGCCTTGTGCCACATCTAAGCTACGCTTAGAAAGTCGTCAAGGGTAAAGAAAATTCATAAACCCATTTTCATATGTTTGGGTTTTATTAGGATTCTAATAATCTCTTTTTAAAAACAATAAAATTGTCGAGGAAATCAAGGTAGTATACAGTAATAGCGGTCTCAAACAATTATTGAATTGTCGGTGGGGAGCTGGCATGAAGATTAAGATTTGTAGATAATACAAAAATGGCGGCGAATATAGCACTTTAAAGACTGTGTTAAAAATAACAATCATGGCAAAAATACGTAATGAATTAAATACTTAAGAATACTTTAAGAATCTGTCTATATTTCTGAGATGAGCTATTATGTACACTATTTACATTATTCGGACTATCGTCTTCATCTTTGTCGCCATATTTATGACGATGTTTCGGCCGTTGTACGCTCCGGCCTTCTTCAAGTAGTTGGAATGTCGAACTGAACCCTTTATTCCGCTCACTGGGATAGACTGTTCTATATATATATATATATATATATATGTTCTATATATATATATATATATATATATATATATATATATATATATATATATATATATATATATATATATATATATATATATATCCACTGTGCTATATGTCCTTGAGGATAAGTGGATCAAGGCGTTGATTAGATCCAGTGACAGGACCCAAAGTGTGTGAGTTCAATACCCTGTTAAGGTAGTGGAGAACTTTCTGAGGGGAATTAACAGGAGATAACTGATGACTTACATCCATTAAACATGGTGGAAGTAGAACAGTCTACCCCAGTGAACAAAATAAAGAGTTCAGTTCGACATTCCAACCACCTGAAGAAGGCCGGAACGTACAACGGCCGAAACGTTGTAATAAATATGGCGACCAGGATGGGAACAATAGTCCGAAAAAGTAAATAGTGTCAAGTTAAGAAATTCAAACAAGCCTTACATTGTAATGTAAATAATCCAGGTAATTATTTTCTTAATCTTTGTTATTTTAAGAAAATAATTACTTGGATTATTTACATTATTCATACTGTTATCTTCATATTCATTGACATATTCACAACGTTTCAGCCGTTGGACGCTCCGGTCTTCTTCAGTTGATTGGAATTTTAAATAGAACCATTTATTTCGTCCATAGGAGTAGATTGTTCTAGTTCCATGTGCCATGCCTCTTCCAGATATCTCAGTTATTTCCCTTTAACTCAACTCTCCAAGTTTTTTTGGTTCACCACTGCTCTGGCTTGGCATTGAACTCATAAATCTTTGGGCCTAGTCACTGGATCTAACCAACGTCTTTATCCACTGTACCATGTGTCCTTGAAAAGTTGAGCTTAAAGGGAAATAACTGAGACATCCGAAAGAGTCATGACACGTGGAACTAGAACAATCTACCCCAGTGAACGAAATAAAGGGTTCGATTCGAAATTTCAATCACCTGAAGAAGACCGGAGCGTAAAACTATCGAAACGTTGTGAATATGGCAATGAATATGTGGATAACAATTCGAATAATGTAAATAATGTAAGTAATCATAATAACTCATCTAAGATATATAGACAGATAAAGGCTTCGGTTTGAAATTCCAATCACCTGAAGAAGGCTGGAGCGTACAACCGAAACGTTGTGAATATGGCAATGAAGATGAGGATAGCAGTCCGAATAATGTAAATAATATAAATAATCATAATACCTCATCTCAAAGATATAGACAGATATATAGAGAGACATAGACATCAAGGCCGGAGCGTACAACGGCCGAAATGTTGTGAATATGACAATGAAGATGAGGATAGCAGTTCGAATAATGTAAATAATGCAAGTAATCATAATACCTCATCTCAGAGATATAGACAGATGTATAGAGAGACATAGACATAAAGGCTGGAGCGTACAATGATCGAAACGTTGTGAATATGGCAATGAAGATGAGGATAACTGACTTCCTGTTTACTCTTCTTTTGTTCTCACTCAATTTTCGCTTGTGGAACTCACTTGCGGATTCTTGCTTTCGAGTCAACTTTGACATTCAAAAATTTAAATGCAATGTCAATCGTTATCTTCTGCCTTCTTAATTACCGTACTTTTTATGTTCCCCCTCATTAATTATGTTTTTCTTTTTCTCATAAACTTTCACACTCAGTAACCTCTTTTGTCTTAGTGGCTTTATTGCCTTGCTTTAGGTGAAATGAGTAAAGAAAGGAGTAGTAATGAAAACAACGACATATCCGTAGACAAGGTCAGAAGAATAAGAACTATCTACCCATGTAGATTAAGCGTTTCGTTCGAAATACTCTGAATCTTACCCGGATTGACAGGAGGCCGGAGAGCATAACTGTCGAAATATTGTGATAATAACAACAGAAAATTGAACATTAGTCCAAATTGGAATAACGATAACTCCTCATCCTAGGAATTCAATCAGAAGGCGATCAGGTGATAGTAACAAGAATGACGAGGACATTAGTTCAAATGTAAATAATGATTACTCCCCATCCCAGAAATTCAGACGGAAATAGACTTCAAAATATTTAGAATATTGAAAATACATCATTTCGAAAGATTATATTGGCTGAAGCAAGTAATGTGAGAGTGAAAGAAAGAGCAGAAGAACCCGGGAGAAGAAAATATATCGTTGGCGCGTTTAGGGGAAAGAATGAATTTAAACAGTGACGAGATGTTAACATTAGAAACTCAAGACAAGTCGTTCACGGAAATATCAGATGCAGTGTTGTGGCGGGAAAAAAAAGAAGAGTAACGGCCATGTTGTTAAATACAGAGTAACGGATAAAAAAAAAGTGGGGGAAGATTGATGCAATCAAGGGTCAAGAAAGACTGAGTGGGGGTAGGTCGTCGGGTTTGGGAAAGGTGAATCGCATGTGGATATGGGAGGAATGGCAAATGGCATACGAATCGAAGAGGGAAAGCAGAAAGGGGAGGCGAGTCTAGGGAGGATGTTTGGTTCCACCGGGGAAGATGGGCAAACTTGGAAGAGAAGTCATAGGAAGGGAAATAAAGAGGAGAAACAAAAGAAAAATATTCAGTAAGAAAATGGGAATAAAAGACGAATTGATACATAGGAACAGAGTTAGGTATATATATATATATATATATATATATATATATATATATATATATATATATATATATATATATGACAAAGGCGAAAAAGACTTCGCCGGATTAAAATGATGAGCCCTACAAAGTTCTAAACAAGAAAACACTTCACGGTAAGGTGTTTTCTAAGTGTAGATTAGATGTGGCACAAGGCCGAAAGTATGGAGCACCCAATGAGAATTAAACTCACTACTCAAATGTAACTGTTCCAGCGAGATAAGCTTGCTAAACATTGCACGACGTCATGTATCTACTTTGGCATAGTGTTTTCTTCCCTAATAATCTTCTTGATATATATATATATATATATATATATATATATATATATTATCACACTGTTTCTCTTCTTAAATAAAGTAAAATTAATACTGGATGCCAGATGTCTGTCATATTCAATGAAACATGAAAGTGCCGAAATATGCATTATATATATATACTAGCAGTAGAGCCCGGCTTTGCCCGGGGATATAACAGTAAGAGATAGATCAAGTATCCACCATCACAAAGACTGAAAAGTAAAATTGACAAAGATTATTGTTTAAGGTTGACGGACACGCATGTCTTAATTAGTTTTTTTTTCTTTTTTTTTTTTTTTTTTTTTTTACGAATTGGTCAAACCCAAACTCAAACAAAAACATTGTTTTCAATCATTATGAGTCTACCGATTGAATAGAATTTTATTATAAATAATTGTCTTGTAAATGGAATTTTTAAAGCATTGTGAACATTAGAAATAAAGAAAAAAGTGTGTAAGAGAATAAGAAACACTACCTGCCCAAAAAAAAGTGAAGTTTTGTTTTATCGGCTGAAAAATATAGGAAATCGGATCCCATATTTAAAGGAACCCACACACACAAGCAACCCGATGTGAGTTGTCCCCCTTCCATTTTCACGATGTCTCTTAATTGTTTTTTCAAATTGATTTTGTGCAAAAACAATTATATTTTTCCCATTTTGGGCGCTGAAGTTTTGTTGAAATCGGTTGAAAAATATAGGAAATCCGATCCAATATATAAACGTTACACACACACACACACACACACACACACACACACACACACACACACACACACACACATCACACACAATTTATTTATAATAAGTAAGATATACATATATATATATATATCAGGATTTTTTCTCCTGATAATGACCATGCTGTTCGAAACTTGTCGAGGAACATAATTTAAATGATAAAACAAAAATATTAATATAAAACATCCTGTCTAAAATTTTAATTTTTTAACATTTTTATTGTTCAAGACACACACGCACGAACACACACACACACACACTATATATATATATATATATATATATATATATATATACATTATCTCAAAGTTCTGGTGTTATTGGTGAGGAAATGTACTTTTATCTCTATCTGTAAAAGGCAGAATGTGTGTGTGTGTGTGTGTGTGTGTGTGTGTGTAACGAATGCACGGCCGCAATTTTCGATGGATTTGCACCAAAATTTACATGCACATGCTCCAAGTTAGTGGAAAGGCCAAGACCGACTTTGCATTTCCCAACTCCCATCGATAGTGGAAATAATCGATTTTTTCATGCTTCTACGGCAGTTTTCATGTAGTTTGCGGCCATTTTCTACTGGCCAGAGTGAGAGCCTATAGCTGGCTGCCACGAATAGGCAGGAAGATTCTATTGGCCAGCATGAGAGCCAACAGCTGACTGACATGAATGTTAACTAGCATGCTAGCATGCAAAAAAATCGATAGCTGCATTCGTCACAAGTGGAAAAAATTTAAATTTGCATGGCACTTTACTCCAATTGTCTCATTCGCTTGCTTAAACTCGACGTTGATTCTGATTCCGCAGAACTGGTTTGGGTGTGAAAAAGTATTTGTTGTTAACATTCTTTTTTCATTCGGTCATTTAACGTTTAGTATAGAGCTTAGAAAAAATTCGCAGTGTGAGATAGGCAAGAAGTAAAGCATGTAACAACATCAGCACGGCAAAGGGCACTCCTTTAAAGGCAAGGAAGGGCCATGCTGCTAGTTATTAGTATAATTGATGACCATATTTCAACATTGACTTGACAGTTGAATTGTGGCAAGAAATATATATTGTAAGACACTACAGGATTGGTGATTTCTTGCTCAACTTGACGTCCATATTGTCTCATTTTGATCTTGTCGATGTGACCTCCATATTCTGGCTTTCTTCTATATTTTGGATAAGAGTCATTCTCTTGTTCAAATTTAAATTTAATTTAAATCAAAGGGGAAAAAATTAAGTGGGGATGCTCCTCCCCCAGGGACCCCCATTGATCAAAATGAAATCTACTTATCTAAGTACCCTGGATAATGTAGTTTCAGAATATAGATGTTTATGGGGGTCTATCTCCAAAACCCTAAGAGGAGTTCGATAACAAACTAACAGAGGCTACAACTTTATATATATATATATATATATATATATATATATATATATATATATATATATATATATATATACACGGTCATAGTGAATAATGATGCGATGAATTTATAGTAATAAAATATTTTGTCGATTTTTTTCCGTTAAGGAATGATCAGACGTTTGCCAAGACATCGTCCAATGGAAGATAACACAGGGAGAAGTATGTTCATGCCTTTCGACCAGAAACCTAATCAGAAGATCTCCCGAAGGGATAAAAATAATGGAACATGTGATTTTTTTATTTATCAAGCTATGTTCCTTTCGTTACGCTATGCTTAGCGCAACAAAATATCTACACAGGGAAAAATGGGCTCATGCCTACAATCTCAGCCGGAATTTTAACACGACTTGCCGATTCTTTTTACCGCCTTGATAACCAACTAAGGATAGGGGTTACAAAATCAGCAGAAATATTTATTTTGCAGGCTGGGAAGGACGTTTTTGATGATCGTTGGTGTCAGGTGGGGGGTTATTTATCGCTCCTTAGGGATCTGGGATGTATCTCCAGGGATCATTTAACCTGTTAGCCAGACGGGAAAGCTAGATGGTGTTGGAGTCTGCGTTAAGAGAAGATGGACTGGCAGGCGTTATTATTAGATTTAGTCAGAAGAGGTGGTTGTACATTGAACAGAAACGCTGTTTCCGTTCCACAGAACGACACGCGATACGCGTATAAGCAAAATGCAATCTGTTTTGCTCAAATGACGACAGAGCATCCACAAAGTCTCTCTTTTCCTCTCCCTGGTTTTCAAATTGGCGAAACTCCCTTCTCAGAGTAACCATTAATTAAGACGCTAGAAGCCATTGTTCGCAAGTACACTCTGTATTTTGAAGAATCGGCGAAAATAGTTTTATTATATGTTAAACGTTGGTGAAACAAAAATGGCCACAATTTGACAAGGATTTCTCATGTAAATATTCATTTAAAATTTCCACAGTATAATATTTGAGCTATGTGATTAATATCTAATACTGAATCAAGTGCATTTACATAGAGACTATGCTGGAAACGAGAAACCTTTTATCCATCAATCAACCATATATTTATATATATATATATATATATATATATATATATATATATATATATATATATCGGTGTGCTTCTGAAAGTGCAGAAATAAATATATATATCTATATATATATAGTCTTAAGGTGTGCTATATTTATGGGCTAAAGTGCTCAGTATCAGAGATAGAACGTGTGTTAATATAAAAGTGAACATTGAAGTCAACCCTTAAAGGCGGCAGGCTGTTTCATGCTAGACGCAATCGTCAGGTCACATGATGTTCACTTTTATATATATATATATATATATATATATGTGTGTGTGTGTGTGTGTGTGTGTGTGTGTGTGTGTGTGTGTGTAATCCGTTGAAATATAAGTCAAGTGAATGCTAATAATATAAAATATTAAAACTGATCATTTTCTCTTCTTTTTTTTAAATGTTTAAATTTTAGGGTTGTGATTTTTTTTTTTCCACACTTCTAAGTTGAAAAGGCCAAGATGGTCGAAATAGCTATTCTGGTGAGGTAAATTTGGTTTCTATTTTATGTAATATATATATATATATATATATATATATATATATATATATAGAGAGAGAGAGAGAGAGAGAGAAAGAAAGAAAGAAAGAAAGAAGGAAAGAAAGAATACCTAAAGAGTCTGAACCTACCCACATAGGTTTCACCTAACAAAGCTTGATACTTTAATTCAACTTAATTCTAATAATTATATTGAAGTTTTCAGCTTTTGTTTTTGAAACATGAGAACTCTTATGTGGCGAAAGAATCATATTTTTTAAAAATAATAATTATATATATATATATATATATATATATATATATATATTTAAGAGAAAGAAGTATTCGTACAAGATTTTTTTTTTATTTAACATAGATTTTACAAAATATTTCTATAATCCATACAATATTTGTATACCATGGCATAATGCTCCAATATGCAAAAAAAAAAAAATTCAGACGAAAATTGCTATATTAATGAAATTCCATAAAATTAAAAAATTTGGAGGCGAAAAAGTATTCGTAGAAAATTATAAAACCTATTTAATACCTTGTAGCATATTCCTTACTCAATTCAACAGCAATCAGTTCTCTTTGTGTAGCTTTTAATCAGTCATTTGCAAGTTTCCAGTGGATTTCACTCCATTCTTCTTTGCATTTTCTCTTTAGGTCCAGAATGTTTTTCGGAGTTCTTTTATTAACTTGAATTTTTAATAAACGCCACAAATTCTCTACTGGATTCAAGTCTGGCTACTGTGATAGCCATTCGAGTGAATATATTTCATAGATTGATTAACTGTATTGATGTAAAAATTAGGTTTTAGCTAAATATATAAGAAGGTCCAAGAGCCACTCAAGGTAGAGGGTTACTGAGTAATGTATGTGATATCAATAATTTGATTAATAAATATTTTTAATTCGTAAATTGTTACAAAGGTTTTCAGAATTTTTGACAAACTTTTATATATATATATATATATATATATATATATATATATATATATATATATATATATATACAGGGTGACCCAAAAAAACAGGAACTTTTAACAATCAAATAAAACCAAGAGTGATAAAAGAAAAATATTTTATTCATAGTAATTGAAACCTTAAAATATGCCATTTAAGAAACAATGATGGAATTTTCATTTTTTAAAAATTACGTCCTGTAGATGGCGTCCTCCTGTACGAATGCATTCTTGAAATCTGCTGTTGAGATTCCTCATTAACTGCTGCAACATCTCAGCTGGGATACTGTGAATTTTATTTTGAATTCTAAATAGTGAAAGGTTTACTTGCTCAAGGTCACTGTCTCGCAGTGTTGCCACTTGCTCATGTTTGACAATACGTACTTCAAAAATTCCCATTTTGCTGGGTCACCCTATATATATATAGATGGGGGTAAAGAAATATTTGTACCTCATGAATTTTTTTATTTAACATAGATTTTATAAAAGAATTTTATAATGCAATCAATATTTGTATACCATAACATTATGCTGCAATATGCAAAAAAAAAAAATCAGAAAAAAATTGTTATATTAATGAAATTAAAATATTTGGAGGCAAAAAAAAGTATTTGCATGAAATTATAAAACCTATTTAAATACTTAGTTGCATATTTCTTACTCAATTCAACAGTAATTAGTCTCTTTCTGTAATTTTTTAATTAATGAGTTACAAGTTTCCGTTAGTATTTTACTCCATTCTTCTTTTCATATTCTCTTTAGGTCCAGGATGTTTTTCAGAGATCTTTTATTAACTTGGATTTTTAATAAACACCACAAATTCTTTATTGGATTCAAGTCTGGAAACTGATAGACATTCGAGTGAATTGACATTGTTTTAAATAAGCCATTATTTTGTTGATTTAGCCGTATGTTTAGCGTCATTATCTTATTGTAAGAACCGTTCATTTGTTCGATGTTATCACAACATTATCGATAAAAATTCTTTAATAATGCTTTATAAAAGTCCTGGATAATTTTCACCGGAAATCTGGAATAGTAATATAATGGTAATTGGTTGTTTCTTTAAAAGGAGACTTATAGACAAATGATCCAAAATACATAAAAAATAAACCGAAAATTCATTTCAATCACTGAATATATAT